TCGCTTGAATCCAGGAGGTGGAGGCTTCAGTGAGCTGAGATCGTGCCACTGCACTCCAGCCTGGGAGACAGAGCACGACTCTGTCTCAAAAAAAAAAAAAAAAAAAAAAAAAAGCTGGAGATGATCCCAGCACTTTGGAAGGCCGAGGTGGGCAGATCACCTGAGGTCAGGAGTTCAAGACAAGCCTGGCCAACATGGTGAAACCCCTTCTCTACTAAAAGTACAAAAATTAGCTGGACATGGTGACGGGCACCTGCAATCCCATCTACCCCGGGGGGCTCAGGCAGGAGAATCGCTTGAACCCAAGAGGCAGAGGTTGCAGTGAGCTGGGAGAGATTGTGCCACTGCACTCCAGCCTGGGTGACACAGCGAGACTTTGTTTCAGAAAAAAACAGGCTGGGCACAGTGGCTCACACCTGTAATCCCAGCACTTTGGAGGCCGAGGCAGGCGGATCACCTGAGGTCAGGAGTTCAAGACCAGCCTGGCCAACACTTTGGGAGGCCGAGGTGGGTGGATCACAAGGTCGCGAGTTCAAGACCTGCCTGGCCAACATGGTGAAACACCATCTCTACTAAAAATACAAAAATTAGCTGGGCGTGGTGGTGGGTGCCTGTAATCCCAGCTACTCGTGAGGCTGAGGCAGGGAACTGTTTGAACCCAGGAGGTGGAGGTTGCAGTGAGCCAAGATTGTGCCACTGCACTCCAGCCTGGGTGACAGAGTGAGACTCTGTCTCAAAAACAACAACAACAACAACAAAAGAAGCTTGAGATGAAAGGGAGAAATGAGAATTTCACCATAAGGTAAGGATATGGAGTTCTAGTAACTGAAAGTGGGTAGTTTTTGGGGGGCCCAGTTCCCCTCTTGGGTGAAAGAAGTGAACAGAAGTTCACAGCAGGTGAGGCTGTGGATCCCGGAAGTGAGCCAGGGAGAAATAACTAAAGGGGTCCCGGGAGCAGACATCGAAATTCCCGGAAAAAGTGGTGATAGGCTCCCAGAAACGGACCAACTGAAATGCCGGAAGTGAGCCTCAGACATCCAGGAAGCAGAAACCTGGATCCCCGGAAGGAAACCAACCAGCAGCACTCCTCACCCAGAAACGTGAGAGATGCCTTTTCCAGGAGCGCAGGCCAGAGAGGTAGATCTCCTGCAGCACAGGGGCACTGAGTTCCACTTCAGCCCCGTCCGAGGTCAGCGAGGTTCGGAAGCCCACGGCCTGGTGCGCTTCAGCCATGTCACGCTGGAGCCCTGGGAGTCGGGCAGAGTCACTCTTCAGGGCCCCAGCCCCTCCTCCCTCAGACTCAGGAGTCCAGGCTCCCAGCCCCTCCTCCTTCATACCCAGGAGTGCAGGCCCCAGTCCCTCCTCCCTCAGATCCAGGAGTCCAGGCCCCCAGCCCCTCCTCCCTCAGACCCAGAAGCCCAGGCCCCCAGCCCCTCCTCCCTCAGACCAGGGATCCCACGCCTCCAGCTGCCTCTTTGCGCTGACCCAGGACTAGCTCATCCTTCTCTAAGCACCTGAGGGGTCTTGCGGGTCCTGGTTTGTAGACCCGGAGGTTTTGAGGGAAGGACGTCAATTCGGGGCCTCTGGGAAAGCGTAGAGAGGCCAGAGGGATAGCTCGCGTTAACCCCTTTACCTGCTCTGCCAAGAACATGGTGCGGGGGCAGTGCCCTCCCCCCTAATACAGGACTCTGAAGATTCGGGGGTAGGTGGAGGAGGGAAACTGGTCCAGGCTGAGTTGCGGGGTCTTGAGAAAAACATTAGTTTTAGACCCATATGAAACAAACACCTATTAGATATTGACGCTGTCCACCCCATTTCCGCTTCTCATGCCAAGGCAAGGGGGTTGGTGTCTATAAATTCATCTGCTCTGAGGTGGCCCAGCGTCCCCTCCCCCTGCCCGGGCTGGAGAGGATGGGGAAGGAAGCACCCACTGCGCATGCCTCGCAGCCTGGGATGCTGAGACTGTGAGCGGAGGCGAGCGTCGAGGACAAGTGATGGAGAGGCTTGCACGCCCAACCCTAGACACAGGACTCCAGCCCCCTCAGGAGCCCGAGCCCCTGGGGTCCAATACTTACCACGTTGAATCAGGGGTCCGCTGATCGGATCCTGGGGTCCAAACCCGAGTCCACCCCCGCCCCCGGATTTTGAGCGCCGGCCCCAAATCTCCGGCTTGCGTATGTCCAATCCCAGTGCAAGGAGTCCACCACCGGGTCGACGGGCCTTTGGAGTCCTGCCCACTCCCAGATCACCGTCACCCAGAAACCCCGATTCCTGTCTCTAGTGTCCCTAGCCGGGTATTCAGGTCCCGGGTTTTATCCCCGCCTCCTTCCAATCCCCGCGTTCTATCCCCGCCCCCTTAGAGCCACGGCGTCCAATCCCCTCCATCCGTTCGATCCCCAGTCCTCTGTCTCCTTTTACCCGGCCAGATTCTCCACCATTTGGCCGCTCGCATTCTGCGCAGCTGTTCGGAACTCGGGTTTCTGGGCTCCTCACTCGGCGCATTGTCTCTTAATCTGTCTCTTCGAGGAACAAGGCTCACCTGGGAGGCCACAGCCCACCCCTAAGTGCATTGTAACGTCAGGCGCGTAGGGTGCCGGAGCAAATCTCAGCCCTTTCACGCCAGGGAGGGAGGAGGGATGTTTGGCGGTAAGGAGGGCCCACCAAAACCACCCACGGAAGGTGCATGGATTGAGTTGGCAAGAAGGAGGCGCTACAGCGGGTTGGATTCAAGGTAGACAGTGGGACTTCCGTGAGGGAGAAGCAGCATGGATAACGGAGAAGGGTGTATTAGAGACCCAGCCCCGACTGAGAGGTCGAAATAGGTAAAGGGAAGCAGAGACTGAAACACGGAACTCTCGTTTATTCGGCTTTGGGCGTCAGTGTTCTTCGTCCAGCCTGGTCCCTTGTGCTCCTGGGTCCAAGCTAGTCACAGCCCGGGGAGGGACTGGGGAAGGCGGTTTCAGGGGCTGGAGTTAGGGGAGAAGACACGTGGGGTAGAAGCTCCAATATACAGATAGGCAAACTGAAGCCGAGGAGGGGACGAGCCGTGCCGGAGGTCACCCAGCGAGCTGGGCACTGCGCTGGCCCCCTCGCTGCAGGCCGGAGTCCTGGGAACCAAGCCGGGCTTCCGCCTCGCGCCACCGGCGGCGCCCATAGCTGTAGGGGTTCTGGGGCTCGCGGCTGGCCTTCCCTGTGGGCTCCTTGGTGGAGGCAGAGCGAATCCATTGTATGATCTCCGCCAGGCGGTGGGTCCGGCATACGCCCAGGTAACAGACGTGCCCGCGGTGCTGGGGGACCTGGTGCTGGCCTCGCCTGGAGAGGGAGCGTGGGAGAAAACCGGGTTCAAACCGAATTGAGAAATGGGGCGTGATGGAGGTGGGCACCCAAGCACTCCAAGACCAGCGGGGAGCGCTTACAGATCACCCGGCCGTTCCGCGGCCGGGAGGGGGCGCGCGCCCTTTACGGTCTCCTTCCTGCTCCGTCCCTGCTGCCACCGAGGTTTCTCACCTGGCTGCAGTATCCGGGTCCCCTGGGCGGAGAAGGCGAGGAGCAACAGCAGGATGAGGATGTGGGCAGGGCGGGTCAGGATCCGTGGCCTGGAGTTGCAGCCACACGACCCCATTCCGGCGCCGGGCTGATCGCCTCTGGGTGCGGCTCTGGAGCCAGTAGCCAGGGCCAGTCCCCACTTCCCAGGCGGGGAACACTGAGGCCAAAAGTCTGTGGGAAAAGGCCGCACCACACCAGAGGGGCAGGATTCGAACCCGGGTCCCAGCTTCACGCACCGCGGCTCCAGAGCCCTCACTAGGGGTGCAGGTCACACCAGCGCTGTCTATCCCCCTGGGAGGTCTGTGGAGACTCACCCACCTTAAAGCATGGGGAAGTGGGGCGGGGCCGATGACACCCACAGGTAGAGCTAAGCAGCGGGATTCCACGAAAAGGGGTGGAGGCAGGGAAGCGCTGGCTCCGGTTGTAGATGTGACCTCACCCTCACCCCGTAGTCGTCCGGAAGCTGTTTAGAGACCCTGGAACCTCGGGGGGCCAGGCAATGCAGGACGAGTGCGCATGGGGCCCCCTGGAGGGTGTGGATCGAGGGAGACCACAAACACGCCAAGAAGCGCCCCTCCGTTAGAAAACAAGGCCAAGGTGTCAGGCACCCGCCAGTGAGGGCTCCAGATGCACTGAAGCAGGTGTAGCCAGGGCTGTGTCAATGTGGAGGTCCAGTGCACAGTGTTGTGGGGACCCAGGACCCCATGGCCAGGCTCTGAGGGTAGAAGGGTGGGTGCAGACTCCATGGCTGCAGCAGAGGCAGAGGGGCCTCGTCTTGGCCTCTGTAAGATGGGTAGGCCCTGCCACCTTTGAGCTGCAACTCCCACTGACCTCCATGGAGGGCAAGTCCCCAGCCCTAAGCCCCAAGCCATGCTAGGGGAGGAAGCAGGGCCACACCCCCACAAGAAATTCTATCCTCCCCAACATACACCCCCAACCCACTCAGTGTCCCCAGCTGCAGAGGGCTGGGCACAGTTGGGCCTTGGAGGGACCCAAACAGGAAAAAACAGCCAGAGAGGTACAATGTGAGTGTTGGGGGAAGGTGGGGAGACTGTTCTGGGAAACTTGAGGGCTGGCTGTGCTGGAACGCCAACCCCATCCCCCACCAGGCAGGAGGACACAGGGGCACTGCAGAGGGGAGGGGCGCAGACCCAGGAGGGGATGAAGAGTGGGACAAAGACCCTGAGAGACAGCTGTGGATGGGAGGGAGCCTGAGAGAGCCGTGGAGGGGAGGGAGCCGGAGGGAGCCTGAGACAGCCGAGGAGGGGACAGACCCTGAGAGAGAGCCGTGGAAGGGAGCCAGAGGCCTAGCGACAGGGGAGGGGAGATGCAGATCCACAGAATGGCAGCCACCAGCAGGCTCCAAGGCCGGTCCCCCCACTGCTCAGGCTGGCACCTCAGCACCTGCGAAGGAAACCCCAAACCTCCTTTGCCCCCAGGAAATGGAACCAGACCCCAGCTGAGGATTTATTGGCGTAAATGCAACCATATAAAAACATAAGTTATGAAAAACACAGTCACGATGTGCCCTCCCCATCCCCCCAGCCCAGGCCCCTAAAACCCCCTTCTGTGGGAAGAAGGGAGAGGAAGGGGGAGCCCCGAAACCGCCTAGGAACGCTCAGCCCCTGGGCCCGTGCAGGGCGGGAGAGCCGGGCCTCAGCGCATCCGGTAGTCAGTGGAGCAGGACAGCTCGCACAGCTGGCCCTTGAAGTCCAGGTCGATGGTGAAGTCCAGGTCCCGCTGTGGGGAGAGGGCGGGCATGAGGGCGGAACCCACCAGGAGGTGGTGGCAGGGGGGTGCAGGCAGGCCATGCGCTGGGCTCCAGCTTCCTGCCCATCTCCACACTGCAGACCCCAACTGCTGGTCCCACCCTAGCAGCTGTCCTGACCCTGTCAAGGGACAGCGCCACGTGGACACCCTCAAGCCCACTAGGTTCACTCAGGAGCAGAGCCTGGCTGCTATCCCTTGCCCTTGGATTTCTCCATCAAGACGTTCCCTATCAGCAACGCAGTGATTGCTTCTTTCATAAATCAGAAAACCTCTCCCAAGCCCACTTCTGCTCAGGCAAACATTCCAGTGAAACGCAGTGGTCCAGCCTCTGTCTCCACTTCTCCTCCCAGGCTTCCGGAAGACCCCCCATACCCTCCAGCACAGGAAGAGGGGATCAAGTTGCCAACAGCCCCGAGGACTCCTCCTCCCTCTCCAGTATCTGTTTCCCAGCTAGCGCCGTGGCCCCAGGGGCTACAGGAGTCTTTGCAGGGGGTGGTCCTGTGGTTGTAGGACGTTTACCAGCCCCTGGCCCCTACATACCAGATGCCAGGAGCACCCCTTCTCCAGAGTGACAACCACAAATGTTTCCACAGATGGTGACGAACGTCCTCTGTCGGGGGTGGGGGGCACTGAAACTGCCCAGCTGACAACTGCTGCTGTCACGGGCTCGAGGGCGTCCCGGGGCCCACATTCCATGACTGCCCTGAGTGCCACCCACCCTCGCACCCATGGGCCGGGACTCACTCTTCCAGCCCACACCACTCCCGGTGACTCCAGGCTCCCGGCCTTCCATCCTCCTGCCTGCTCAAACCCGCCACACTGGACCTCTCTGCCCAGACCCTCTCTCCCAGAAGCCCCCCCCAGCTCCCCTGGAAACCCCCTGATCTCAGGTGATGGCAGCTCCTACCAGGTGCTCAGGAGGAAAAAGGGGGAGTGGAAAACAAAAAGCTGCCTTTCTCCTCCTCTCATGCCTCCCACCTGGGCTAGCAAACCCTGTGCGCTCTACCGGGGCCGCCTCTTGCCCTGGAGGTCACCCACGCCAACACCTGTCTGCCCTGCTCCCAGCCTGACAGACGTCACCTCCCACTGGCATCACCATGTCACTGATCCCCTTGTGTAGACTGGAAGCACCAGGAGGACAGGGCTTTGGCCTGGGTCCCCAGGCCCATCTTCCAGTAAATGCTAAGAAATCTGCTGTGTAGACAGGCGTGGGGCTGAGGGGCTCAGGGACCCGGGAACAGGCAGAGGCACTCGCCCCTGCCAGCTGCCCCCATCCGCCCCAGCTACCCCCATCCCCTACGCTGCCACCATTCCCCCCTACCACTGCCCCTATCCATGCTCCCCACCCCGGCTGCCACCCTCCTGCCCAGCTGCCCAGAGCCTCACGTTGTTCTTGGCATTGGGCCGCATGCCGATGGTGCCGAAGATCTCCTCGCCCGTCTTCACGGTCAGGTAGTCCTCCATGTAGAACACTGTCTGCTTCCAGTGCGTGTACGGGGACTCAGGGCCTGGGGGCGCAGGCGGGTCAGCTGGCCTTGGCCTGCTGCCCTGGCCCCAGTCTTGTGTTCCCTCTGTTGGAATGTCCACCCCCCTGACAGCTGACGGGACTGCTGTCCGTGAGTCACCTCCCTGTCATTCAGCTTTGGAGACAGGGACCGTGTCAGGCTTTTGTGGATGAGGAAACTGAGGCACTGCACACTCAGGTCACTTGCCCAAGGCCATGTGACTGCTACATGGCAGAGCTCACGCTGGAACACACATGTCCCCATGGCTCCCTCTGCCCGTTTCTTTTTTTTTTTTTTTTTTTGAGACGGAGTCTCGCTGTGTCTCCCAGGCTGGAGTGCAGTGGCGTGATCTCGGCTCACTGCAAGCTCCGCCTCCCAGGTTCACGCCATTCTGCCGCCTCAGCCTCCCAAGTAGCTGAGACTACAGGCGCCCGCCACCACGCCCGGCTAGTTTTTTGTATTTTTAGTAGAGACGGGGTTTCACCATGTTAGCCAGGATAGTCTCGATCTCCTGACCTCGTGATCCACCCGCCTCGGCCTCCCAAAGTGCTGGGATTACAGGCTTGAGCCACCGTGCCCGGACCCTCTGCCCGTTTCTGTCACCCCCTCCACTATGTGGGTGCCCCTCGGCCCTGGCTCAGGAGCAGCCCCCAGCCCTGCGGGCCCCGCCTCACTGGTGGAGAAGCCCGTCCTCTTGTGGCAGCGCGTGAACTCGATGTTGAAGTAGGCCACCAGGGCGTGCACGTAGTCATTCCGCTTCACTTGCAGGCAGAACGGGGAGGTGAACGTCAGGTCTTCCACCTTGACGGTGTAGATGTCCACCTCCTGCAGGACAGGAGAGGGTGAGCTCCGGGATGTGTCCCCACCTCGCTTCATCCCCTCCTCCCTCCCTCAAGCTCCCAGAGGGCCTGTGACCTCACTGTCCCCTTCCCGCTGGCCCTCCCTTACTGGCACCCAGCCTCAGCTCCTCATTCACTCCTCATCCTGACTGTCCGGCTCCCAATAAACCGCCTCGGTTTGAGCCCAGATTCTTTGCTCCCTTCTCTCCCGCACCCAAACCTGGCGCCGCCACCCTAACTCTGTCCAGAGCCCACCCCGCCCCGACCCCACCTGGCCAGACCTCCTGGGAATGCAGGCACCCTGCTCCCCCCTCTCCACGCTCCCCCCTCTCCGTGCTCCCCGCTCTCCGCGCTCCACCCTCTCCGCGCTCCCCCCTCTCCGCGCTCCCCACTCTCCCCAACCCTTCACAAGTCCACCAGCATGATGGCTTCAAACGGCAATCCAAACACCAACTGAAAACCCTGCACCAGTTCCGCTGGTTCTCAGGAGGGTGGCCTGGGTGGGGTCCCTGCCCCTCCAGTCTCCTCTCCATTCCCACTCAACAGCTTCCTCCTCCCCACAGGAACCCCCGGCCAACCACCCAGCTTCACCCGGCTCACACATCCCAGCTCAACAAATACTCGTTGCCTTATTTTTTTTTTTTTAAACAGGGTCGGCCGGGCGCGGTGGCTCAAGCCTGTAATCCCAGCACTTTGGGAGGCCGAGACGGGCGGATCACAAGGTCAGGAGATCGAGACCATCCTGGCTAACACAGTGAAACCCCATCTCTACTAAAAAATGCAAAAAAAAAAAAAAAAAAAACTAGCCAGGCGGGTTGGCGGGAGTCTGTAGTCCCAGCTACTCGGGAGGCTGAGGTAGGAGAATGGCATAAACCCGGGAGGCGGAGCTTGCAGTGAGCTGAGATCCGGCCACTGCACCCCAGCCTGGGCGACAGAGCAAGACTCCGTCTCAAAAAAAAAAGAAAAAATAAATAAATAAACAAACAGGGTCTCAGAAGTTAAAAAAAGTTAAAAACAAAACAAAACACTGTCACCAAGGCTGGAGTGCAGGGATGTGATCACAGCTCACTGCAGCCTTGAACTCCCAGGCCCAAGAGATCCTCCCGCCTCAGCCTCCTGAGTAGCTGCAACCACAGGCACATCTCGGATCCCAGCCTGGCCCCCTGCTCTTCTGCAGCGTGTGCACCCGCTCATCGCCCCGGGTCCTGCCTTCCCGTGTACGGGCTGTGGGCTTTAGCTACCAGCTGCGGGTGTGTCCTCTGCCGGACACCAAGTGCCAAACGTGGTTCTCACACGGCAGCGCTCACAAAGATGTTTAAAGGATGAAACGTCTTTCCTGGGCCCCTAGCACCACCTCTGGCTGGCAGGTCAGGCTCTGAGACCTCAGGCCAACACTCTGGGCCCCAAAGTCCCATGCCAGGGCCAGGTGATGGCCTCTCTTTGGTTTCAACCCAGGGGGCACCTGGCCATGCCCACCCCCCCCCTCACCTTTATGAGGCAGGCATTGGTGACCAGCTGTTTGGGGTCCACCACATCCACTAGGGGCTCCTTGATGGCCACATCTTTGATGCAAGACATGTCGAAGCCATACACGTTCTCCCACCCTGGGGAGGCAGGCAGGGAGGGGGTGAGCCCGCGGCAGCCCACCCGGGGCCCCGCCCGCCCGCTCCTGGGCCACGCTCACAGTGGATCTTGTAGTCTTTGTACTGCCGGTCCTCGATGGCCGTCACATACAGCGTGGCCCGGTCTGGGAAGATGAGGCCATCGGGCGCCTGCAGAGGGGCAGGGCGAGGCATGAAGGGTGGGGCCTGGCAATGCTGCCCTGACTCTTGCCCCCGAGATGTGACCTTCTGCCCTGGTCTGAGCCACCCTCATGTCGCAGCGGCACTCACCCCTCACCCCCTGGTCTATTTCCCACACGGCCGCCAGAGGGCACCCAGGGGCACCTCAGTCAGCTCCTGTCCCTCGAGGTTCTGGGGATCCTCAGACCCTCCCTGGCTGCTCTGAGAGGAAAAGCAAAGTCGCGCGGGGTCCCATAAGGCCCCACAAAATCTGCACATGCCCTGTCACCCCTTACCTCCACTGCTCCTCCTGCTGCCCTTCTAGACCCTCCTTCCACACGGGCCTCCCTGCTGCTCCACATGCAGCAAGGGAACACCTGCCCTGGCCACCCCTCCACATCTTCATCCAGCTCTCGGTCACCTTACCTCTCCCGGGGCGGCCTGCTGGGGCCGGAGAACCTGGTCTAGTGCCCTGCTACAGTTTTCCTGTTCCTACAAACCCCCCCACATCGCACCATCTCCCACCAGGGTCTGTCACACCTGGCTCGGGCTGTGGCCTTCTAACACCTTGCAGCCACACCCCCATAGTAAGTCCCGTCTGTGGGAAAAATTGAGTGCTTTTGGCCCCCAGCCCATGCGAGCTGCACCCGTTCGCTGGGGCCTCACCAGCCACTTGTCCCGGGCGTAGAGCACGGTGTTGAGCATGGACTCGTAGAAGAGGCAGTAGCCCATCCACTCGCTGATGATGATGTCCACCTTCTCCACCGGGAGCTCTACCTCCTCCACCTTCCCCTTGATGATGGTCACCACTGCGGGCAGACAAGGGCGGCCACGTCAGCCCCCAGGAGGCTTGCCCCTCACCTCCCCTCCCCCGGGGGCCACAGCCTGGGGACCCCACTCAGTTCAGAGAACTCGGTGAGCAGAAGCCATGAACCCTCTTAACTGTTTTAAAATTCATACATGGCTCTGGACATTTTTGAGGCAGGAGCAGAAATTTTATGTGAACTGGGTATCAGGCAATGTAATGATTTTTTTATTTTTATTTTTTTTTGAGACGGAGTCTCACTCTGTTGCCCAGGCTGGAGTGCAGTGGCACGATCTCGGCTCACTGCAAGCTCCGCCTCCCAGGTTCACACCATTCTCCTGCCTCAGCCTCCCCAGTAGCTGAGACTACAGGGGCCCGCCACCACGCCCGGCTCATTTTTTTGTATTTTTAGTAGAGACGGTGTTTCACCATGTTAGCCAGGGTGGTCTCGATCTCCTGACCTCGTGATCCGCCCACCTTGGCCTCCCAAAGTGCTGGGATTACAGGCGTGAGCCACTGCGCCCAGTCACGATTTTGGTTTTGTTTTTTTGTTTGTTTTTTTTTTTTTTTGAGACGGAGTCTCGCTCTGTAGCCCAGGCTGGAGTGCAGTGGCCGGATCTCAGCTCACTGCAAGCTCCGCCTCCCGGGTTCACGCCATTCTCCGGCCTCAGCCTCCCGAGTAGCTGGGACTACAGGCACCCGCCACCTCGCCCGGCTAGTTTTTTGTATTTCTTAGTAGAGACGGGGTTTCACCATGTTATCCAGGATGGTCTCGATCTCCTGACCTCGTGATCCACCCGTCTCGGCCTCCCAAAGTGCTGGGATTACAGGCTTGAGCCACCGCGCCCGGCCACGATTTTGTTTTTAACTGGGCAGGCTTGATATAATAAGTAAGAGCATGGTCACATTCTCAAAACAGCCTTATCTATTAGATAAGACACATGCAAACGCATTTACCAGGAAAATTACATCACAGTGGGAATTTGCTTCAAATGGACTTGGACGTTCATTATAATAATCTCTTTTAAAAAATTCCCCAATCTCAGCACTTTGGGAGGCCAAGGTGGGCAGATCACCTGAGGTGAGTTCAAGACCAGCCTGGCCAACATGGTGAAACCACGTCTCAACTAAAAAAATACAAAAAAAAAAAAAAATTTCACGCCTGTAATCCCAGCACTTTGGGAGGCTGAGGCAGGCGGATCACAGGTCAGAAGATCGAGGCCATCCTGACTAACACGGTGAAACCCCGTCTCTACTAAAAATACAAAAAAATTAGTCAGGCATGGTGGCGGGCACCTGTAATCCCAGCTACTCGGGAGGCTGAGGCAGGAGAATGGTGTGAACCTGGGAGGCGAAGCTTGCAGTGAGCCGAGATCGCGCCACTGTACTCCAGCCTGGGTGACAGAGCGAGAATCCGTCTCAAAAAAAAAAAAAAAAAAAAAAAGCTGGGATGTACCTACAATGGTGGTCACGGAAAAGAGTGGATGCTGCAACATCCTGAAATATGTTTTTTTTTTTTTTTTTTTTTTTGAGACGGAGTCTCGCTCTGTTGCCCAGGCTGGAGTGCAGTGGCCGGATCTCAGCTCACTGCAAGCTCCGCCTCCCGGGTTTACGCCATTCTCCTGCCTCAGCCTCCCGAGTAGCTGGGACTACAGGCGCCTGCCATCACGCCCGGCAAATTTTTTGTATTTTTTAGTAGAGACGGGGTTTCACCAGGTTAGCCAGGATGGTCTCGATCTCCTGACCTTGTGATCCGCCCGCCTCGGCCTCCCAAAGTGCTGGGATTACAGGCTTGAGCCACCGCGCCCGGCCTGGAATATGTTAAACGACATGACAAGCAGGTGTTTAAGAAGCCAAGGGCAAGAGGCTGGTATGAAATGCTACCGGCGTGAAAATTATGCGCGTGAATGTAAACACATTTACATATATATGTGTTTGTAGGTCCAGACGTCTCTAGAAGTTAGTGTTGGTTAAACTCGGAGGAGGGCAGCTGGGAAACAGGGCAGGCTTCTCACTGTGAGAACAGTGGCCAACCACGTGACTCTATTACTCATTCAAGAAACTAGAGATTGCTTCTTGCCCTAATTTTAAGACGGAGGTGCTAAGCTTGTGATTTTGACACTCAAATTCTCAGGTGGCCGGCAGCCCAGAAGACCATGGGTGGGGAGCCGCTGAATCTGTGGCCATCCGTAGACCCCACTGCTCTTCAGAGGGCCCTGGGGAAGCGGCGCATCACCCCCTCCACTCCCACAAACCCATCCTCTTTCTGGGCTCACCGTGGTCTAACTTGTTGGCTTTGACGATCTTCACCGCATAATCAGAGATACTGGAACACTCGATCTGAGGGCCCAGGGAGAAGGGAGAGTGAGACCTATCCCCTGTCCCCATCCCCTCCGTCCCATCCCTGAGCCCTGATGGCCCCCCTCCATTCCCCAGGCCTGGCCCTGCCTGGAAGCCCCGGAGACTCACCCCAATGACCTTGCGGGCCCCGGCCTTGGCGGCGAACATGCAGAGGATGCCGGTGCCCGAGCCGACGTCCAGCACCACCTTGTCCTTGAAGAGGTGCCGGTTGTGAAACATGGAGTTGCGGTACGTGAGGGTACGCACCTCGTCCTTCAACATCTCCTGAGGGAAGAACGGCACAGAGATGCCGTGAGGGGCCCCACATTCCCCGCTGAAGAACAGTGTGTCCTGAGAGCTCGGAGGGCCGGAACTCCGTCCTCTTGCTTCCTTCCATGCACCTCAGTTTCCCTTTTTTATTTATTCAGTTATTTATTTTTATTTTATTTTATTTTATTTTATTTTTTGAGACGGAATCTCACTCAGTTGCCCAGGCTGGAGTGCAGTGGGGCAATCTCAGCTCACTGCAACCTCTGCCTCCTGGGTTCGAGCGATTCTCCTGCCTCAGCCTCCCGAGTAGTTTCGATTACAGGCACACACCGCCATGCCTGGCTAATTTTTGTATTTTTCACAGAGATGGGATTTCACCATATTGCCCAGGCTGGTCTTGAACTCCTGACCTCAGGTGATCCACCCACCTCGGCCCCCTAAAGTGCTGTGATTACAGGCGTGAGCCACCGTGCCCAGCCAGTTTCCCTTTTTAAAAAATCAGAGAACTAAACTCCCATCTTGGCCAGACTTCACCACTGCCACCTAAGAACCAGCGAACCCTTGGCTTTTACAAGTCCTCAGGCTGGGGGAAGAGGCTCATGCCTGTAATCCCAGCACCTCAGGATGCCAAAGCTGGAGGATCACTTGAGCCCAAGACTTTGAGACCAGCCTGGGCAACAAGGCAAGACTATCTCTACAGAAAAATAAGAAAATCAGCTGGGAGTGGTGGCGCACGCCTGTGGTGCCAGCTACTCCGAAAGCGGAAGTGGGGGGAACACCTGAGCTGGGGAGGTCGAGGCTGCGGTGAGCCACGATTGTACCACTGTGCTCTAACCTGGGCGACAGAGCGAGACCCTGTCTCTAAAAATGAAAAATGGCAATTTTATGCATATTTTGCCATAATTTTATGAAAAAGGCCTCAGGGGGAAAAGAAAATTCCTTAGAATGCCACTCCTGCTTCGTTCTGGGATTTCAGAGTCTTCAGTCAGATCTCAAGGGTGCAGAAGCTGTCGGGCCGGGAGCAGCCAGGTGCAGTCCCACCGCCAGTCACTAGAGGGCGGCAGAGACCGTGGGCCCTGACCGACCGCGGCCTAAGGCCCCAAGCACGCATGCACGCTCCTACCCCAGCCATCGGTGAGAGGCCCCTGCAGAGATTCAGGCTAACCTCGGTCTCCAAGGCAACGACTTGGCGAGGCGACCCTAAGGGGTGCGCAGCAGAGGGGCAGAGGGGCGGCCTGCTGCCAGGGGAAGCAGTGCGCATGCGTGGGAAAACAGGTTCCACCCCTTCCCCAACATTTAACCCCTTTAAGATTGGGGCCTTGGGGGCTGTCCCCACTGACCTCGTGGATGCCAAAGTGGGCGTAGGAGTCAAAGTAGTAATCTTTGGATGTCATGTCCTCAGCATTGGGCTTCTCGCTGCTTTCCGCCTGGCCACAGGACACCTGGGAGGGGGCCGATGGGATCATGGGTCAGATCTGGGGGCTCCCCACAGTCTCTTAAACCTCCAGGTCCCTACTTTTCCCTGAACAGTAGTATAGAACCCCCCAAAATCATACCATTACAACCCTACAGCCCCCGCCTGCCATCTTGCCCCCCAAGAACCCCAAAACCTAACAACCCCATTTTCCACTTCCAAGACCCCCACAGAGCACCATCCAGGGGAGCACCCCGATACCTCAGCCATGCCTACCATCTCTCCAGTCTCTCTGCCCCCGTCTCTAGCTCAGCCCACAGCTGGGGAGGGGAGGGGAAGGAAAATGGGGGCAGACACAGGGAAGGGCAAAGGGGGGTTGGAGGTGGAGTTAAGGAAGTAGCCGAGATACTGGGGGAGGCCAGCGGGGGCTGTGAACCTGGAGGGGTTGCTACTAAGTGTTTGGGGTCCTGCAGTAAACTGGTTTGAAGCAAGAGGGGTATGGTTAGACCTCAAGAAAGGGCCAGATGTGTGGCAAAATATATTGATGTGGAGGTCGGGGTGGGAAGGGGTCTCACAAAAGGATATTTACTTCTTCAAGAGGCGGCTGGAGGCTCATCCCATTAGCCAAGGTGGCTACAAAATTCTAGGAGAGAGTAACAGGGAGAAAGGATTAGCTACTGGGAGTGGCTGCGGGAGGGCTGGGCGCGGGGACCTGGGCTCTGGCGGGGTGGGGGGGGGGGGGGGGGGGGTTTCCAGCAATTCTCCTTCTTGGCGGGGAGTGGTGGCAAAGAGGGCAAGTAATGAGGTGGGGTGTTTAAGAAAGGGATGGGAAAAGTGAGGGGAGAAGAAAGGGGGTCTCCTATCCCAGCTGTGGCTGGAGAGATGGTGGCCTGCCCCCTTGTTGCCCCTCTCTGGCCAGGCAGCTGACCACACACCTCCCCCATCCAGGCCAGGGGAACTGGCACCCACCCCCGCCAGCTGTCGCTCCCTCTCATCACCTAATCTCCCCCAGATTAGGTGACACTTCCTGACACACACACCCCTATCCCAGGGTGCCATGAATAGCAGGAGGGAACGAGGCTGGCAGGGTATGCCCACAGGGCATCTGCCACCTCTGCAAACCAGTCTCATGTCTGAGAGGATTCCAGAATAGAGGTGTGGCACACGGGCACTTCCCCAGAGCTAGTACCCCAGCCCCCAGCTCCTGCCTTGGACTCAGGAGCCCCAAACAAAACCAGCTGGAACCAACCCGCTCCCTTATGACCCTCTGCCCACGAAGGTAGGGTCCCATGGAGGATGGGCAGCTCCTGGACCCTCTTAAGAATGAGCGGGCTCCAGAAAGTGGCTTGGGGGCGCGGTGGCTCACACCTGTAATCCCAGCAGTTTGGGAGGCAGAGGCGGGTGGGTCACCTTAGGTCAGGAGTTTGAGACCGGCCTGACCAACATGGTGAATCCCCATCTCTACTAAAAATACAAAAATTAGCTGGGCCTGGTGGCGGGTGCCTGTCATCCCAGCTATTCAAGAGGCTGAGGCAGGAGAATCGCTTGAACCCAGGAAGCGGAGGTTGCAATGAGCCGAGATCAAGCCATTGCACTCCAGCCTCGGTGACAGATTAAGACTCCGTCTCAAAAAAAAAAAAAAAAAAAAAAAAAGTAGCTTGGGGAGTCAGCCCATCGCCCCCATTTCAGACACCCATCCCAGGTCCTGAAGACTTCCAGGTGTGGCCAAGCCTGAGGCCACCTCTGGGAAAGTTATTTCCTCCGCCCACAGAGCCCCAGGTGCTGGAGACAGCCAAGAGGGTGCGAAGTCATTACAGTGACCCCTGGGAGCTGCATCCTGACAGCTTACAGCTGACCTGCCCCCCCAGTCAATGCCATGGGTAAAGGGGTGGAAGGACAGAGGCCCCATCAGATTACATCTCTTCCAGATGTGACCACTCCAAGAAGGGCCACGTCACTGGCCATGACCTACTAGGCTCCAAACACCCTCCCCCCAGCTCTCCCAAGCCAGCGGGGATGCCTATAAGAAAGGTGCTGCGGGGGTTTCCCGCTGGGGCCCATTTATCACCACCACTGAAAACTACCGCCAGACAACCCCAGCCCGAAGGCTTGAAACGCAAGACTGAAACCTCCCCCACATGGCTGCACGAGAACCAAACCTCACTTGAAACCATTTCAGGCACCCACCCTCAGGACCCCGGGGCTCAGGACCCCTACACAGGGCTTCAGGAAGGGGGAGGTCATCTCCCGCCCTCACAAAGGCCCAGGAGAGAGAAAGCGCTCCAGCAGAGGGTAAAGCTCTCAGCCTACGTATTTCCCACAACTCCTTCCCAGCGGACGTACCCTCCTCCCTCCGCCCGCCAGGAAGAAATCCGACGGGAGGTGGGCTTCAGGACACGCCCCATGAAAAAGATGTCCCTCCCACACACCCAGAAATGGCCACAAGGGGGTGCACGGCGCCTATTAGTGGGAAAATCTCCATCTAGATGCCCCACCACCACCCAGAGGGAGGTCACAGGGGCATGCCCCATCCCCCAACACGTAAAGCCCTGGATGAGGGGGAGAACTCTAGGAGGGGAAATGGGGTCAGGGGGGCCCCATTCTTGGTTTTCCTCCAGTCCCTAATCCAGAACGCACAAATCCAGGGCCGATATCCCAATAGATGCCCCTGGAGCTCGGAAGGAGGTTGTAAAAGGCACTGCTCCTCCCAAAAGACACTCTACATCGTGGAGGGCCCCAGGTCGATCCCACCCCACGACGTGTGCCCGGGTCCCTGGGTAGGAGGGCTGGGGGCCTCAGGAGGGTCGGACCCCCTCCCCGCCCCCCCGGGCGCCCCTCCCCGGCCGGGGGCGGGGCCTTTGTCCCGCACGTGGAGCCCGCCGGGCCACCGGACTCGGCACACCCCCTCCCCACCCACCGCGCCGCGGCCACGTGGGGGCCTGGCCGGAAGCGCCCCCAGCCCTCCTCCACGTGGGAGGGGGGATAAGACCCTCCGCTAGGCCGGATGCCGAAGGCCCTTGAAAGCTAGGGAGCCGTCACCTCAAACGATATCCCCGGATGTGGAGCGTGCGGCGCCCCCGTGTGCGGCGGGGGACCTCCAACCCCATGTCGCCAACTTAGAGCCCTTTCCCCACCACAGAGGCGTGAAACATCGACCCAAAGCCGACCCCCGCCCACGGCGGCGCTCCAAGCGCTCACCTCCATGATGCAGTTCGCGGCCTCGGCTGCCGCCATCTTCACCCGCAACTACTCCTCCTCCAGCCGCCAAGACCCCCCCTTTCTCCTCACTCCCCCGGGACCGCCTTATACCAGAGGGTCCACGGCCCGCCTACCGCGACCCCGCTGGAAGATTTCATTGGCAATGGAGGCGGCCCGTCTGAGAATACCGTCTGATAATTGGCTGGAGAATACGTCCATCATAGGTCAGGGGTTTGCCAACACTGGCGTCCAGAATCCCGCCCCCTCAAGTCGACCCGAGATGGGGAAAACTGCCCGTCTATTGCAAGAAGCGCGACTGGTGATTGGGCAAAATCCACGAGGAATGCCCGCCCCTTTACCCCCAGCACCGCCTCAAAGCTTCCCGGGGAGCCCCGCGCTAAAGGGGCGTCTTGAAACAACTGTCCATCACCAAAACGACCCGCCTCTTAATCGCGGCCATTGGTTTATCCGGAAGTGACGTCACGCGGCCTTTCACCCTCGCCAAGCGGCCAGTCTCAAGGAGAACACGACAATTGGCCCACGGGTGGGGAAGAAGGCGGGGCTTCAGGCACCAACGATTGGCTCAAAGGAACGATCACGCCTAGTCCACTCGGTGGATCCTCCCAACCCGGGGGGAGTCTCGAGGAAAAAGGGAGCTTGTGCTCATTACCTGGGAGAAAAACTGAGTAAGTGAGAGGCCCAGAGAGAGGAATGGCATCGCTGGGGTCCCCAAGCAAGTGAGGAATAGGAGTCCGCAGTCAACACATTAAATCCCTAGCCTTTGACATAATCATTCAAAGTTTTTAAAACCCATCAACCCCTCTCAAGGTACTTGGTTTTTGCCGAGTCCCTCCCCCTGCCAGGACCGCCCACCTCTCTTTGTCTTGTCAGCTTCTAAACGAGAATCAGAGCGCAGATTAGGCACCACTTCCTCCGGGAAGCTTTGCTTGATTTGCAGGAAAAGTTCCTAGTTGAATGAGGCTGAATGCAAAGGGCCGAATGCGTGGGTCCTGCCCCTCCTCTCTCTGATCCCTCTGCTTCCCTCCGCTCACACTCCTCTCCAATCCCGGAATGAGCTCGCTCTTTGGTTTCTGGGCCTCGGTGCAGGCTATACTCTCTGGCGTGCCGCTGGCAAACGCCTGAGACTTAAAAATTTCCGATAGGATTCGGGCGCAGTGGCTCACGCCTGTAATCCCAGCACTTTGGGAGGCGGAGGCGGGCGGATCACTTGAAGTCAGGAGTTCGACACCAGTCTGGCCAACATGGTGAAACGCCCATTTCTATTAAAAATACAAAAATTGGCCGGGCGCGGTGGCTCAAGCCCGTAATCCCAGCACTTTGGGAGGCCGAGACGGGCGGATCACGAGGTCAGGAGATCGAGACCATCCTGGCTAGCACGGTGAAACCCCGTCTCTACTAAAAAAAATACAAAAAAACTAGCCGGGCGAGGTGGCGGGCGCCTGTAGTCCCAGCTACTGGGGAGGCTGAGGCAGGAGAATGGCATAAACCCGGGAGGCGGAGCTTGCAGTGAGCTGAGATCCGGCCACTGCACTCCAGCCTGGGCCACACAGCGAGACTCCGTCTCAAAAAAAAAAAAAAAAAAAAAAATTGGCCGGGCGGCCGGGCGCGGTGTCTTATGCCTGTAATTCCAGCACTTTGGGAGGCCGAGGCAGGCGGATCACAAGGTCAGGAGATCGAGACCATCCTGGCTAACATGGTGAAACCCCGTCTCTACTAAAAATACAAAACATTAGCCGGGCGTGGCGGCGTGCTCCTGTAGTCCCAGCTACTCGGGAGGCTGAGGCAGGAGGATGGCTTGAACCTAGGAGGTGGAGCTTGCAGTGAGCCGAGATCGCGCCACTGCACTCTAGCCGGGGCGACAGACTCTTGTATCAAAAAAAAGAAAAAAAATTAGGCCGGGCGCGATGACTCACGCCTGTAATCTCAGCACTTTGGGAGGCCTAGGTGGACGGATCACAAGGTGAGGAGTTCGAGACCAGCCTGGCCAATATGGTGAAACCCCGTCTCTACTAAAAACACGAAAATTAGCCGGGCGTGGTGGCGGGCGCCTGTAGTCCCAGCTGCTTGGGAAGCTGAGGCAGTAGAATCACTTGAACCCGGGAGGCAGAGGTTGCAGTGAGCCGAGATCGCCCCACTGCACTCCAGCCTAGGAGACAGAGAGAGACTCCATCTCAAAAAATAATAAAATAAATAAAAATTTAAAAATTAGCTAGGACTGGTGGCGCACGCCTGTAATCCCAACTACTTGGGAGGCTGAGACGGGAGAATCGCGTGAGCTCAGGAGGCAGAGGTTGCAGTGAGCCAGGATGATGCCATTGCACTCCAGCTTGAGCGACAGAGCGAGACTCTTATTAAAAAAAAAAAAAAAAGAAAAGAAAAACGTGGCACTAAACAAACCAAGAAAGGGACACTTGTTTCCAGTGTTTGAGCTGAAACAAGAGGAGCCCAGCTGAACCATGCACATCAGGTCTCCAGCTTGTTGCAGCTCTGTGTGTAAGCATTGCTCTCCAAAACACCACAAAAGCACTGCCTTCGTTTTCCGGGTATGAATACTTTTTAGCAAGGATGCAAATTTGCAAATAATCTACAAATACTGAGGATCGACTGTAATTGGTTCGGTTTGTAATCCTGTACATTTCACTTTATTTACAAACATGACTCTGTGAAGGGGGATATGGCCCTAATAAGGAGACAAACCGCTCAGGCACAGTGACTCATGCCTGTGATCCCAGTACTTTGAGATGCCAAGGTAGGAGGATCGCTTGAGCCCGGGAGGTGGAAACCAGCCTGGGCAATGTGAGACACCATTTCTACAATTTTTTTTTTTTTGAGACAGAGTCTCACTCTGTTGCCCAGGCTGGAGTACAGTGGTGTGATCTCAACTCACTGCAACCTCTTGCCTCCCGGGTTCAAGCGAGTCCCGTGCCTCAGCCTCCCAAGGAGCTGGGATTACAGGCACCCACCACCATGCCCAGCTAATTTTTGTATTTTTAGTAGAGATGGGGTTTCACCATGTTGGCCGGGCTGGTCTTGAACTCCTGACCTCAAGTGATCCACCCGCCTCGGCCTCCCACAAAAATTCTTTTTTAAAAATTAGCTAGGTGTGGTGTTGCATGCCTTTAGTTCTAGCTACTAGAGAGGCTGAAGTGGGAGGATCACTTGAGCCCAGGAGGTTGAGGCTGCAGTGAGCCATGACAGTGCCACTGTATTCCAGTATAGGCAACAGAGCAAGACCCTATCGCCAAAAAAATAAAAGGGGTGTGTGTGTGTGACAAACCACTGGTCTTTAGGTAGATGAGAAACCAGAAAAAGAGACTTGAAAGGAGCAATGGGAGGAGAAAAACAAGAAGAGGGTGGTGTCCTAGACACAGGTGAAGTTAGACTGTACCTTTCTGTGGAACTCGCTAGAAAGACTCCATGACCATCATACAGCATTAGGTAGAATAACCAGATTGTGCAACAAGAAAAAAAAAAAAAAAAGCAAGTTGCTGGACTATTTACAGATATTCTCTCAAATATGTTACATGTCCAGGAGACAGGTTCTTGTAGGTGCTCCAAATAAATATTTCTAGAATGAACTGGTTCCTTCCTTAATTTGTGTAAGCCACAGAAATCTCTGAACCAAATCTCCTCTACTTAGAACTTCAGTTCTCGAGTGTAAGAACAGACAGTTGAACACTTTGTAACATTTTTAATACAAAAAGTTTTAAACAATTTATTTTTGGCAAAAACAGGTAGGGCGACCACCACCCCACAGCCCTGAGCTGAAAAGGCAGGCTTGGAAAAGCACACGAAGAGGGCAGGGACATGAGGTGTCATCTTGTAGCAGCTTCTGAGAAAGAGCTCAGTCCAATGGCAAGTTCAAGTCCACGGGTGAGGCGGCCAGGATGCCCTCCTGGAAGGGAAAAGTGGCAGAGCCCTGTGAGCAGGGCAGGTATTTCCCCCCTACAGCAGCGTCCACATCAGCCCTGTGAGATCAGAGACAGGAAGGCGAGGAACCAGAGAGCAGAGAGGGACAGACACCCAGAGAAGGGCACAGGGACGAGGGGGACAGAGTCCTGGCAGGAGGAGGAAAGGCACTGGAGTGGGGTTAGGCAGAGACCCAGACAGAGTGAAGAGTCGAGGGACAGAGTCAGAGACGGGGAAGAGTCTTGGGATTTGAACAATTCAGAGCGGTGGTTTCGTGTACAAATCCAGATTCCAACACGCTGCACGCTGGGGACTTTCCCTCTCCACCCCCACAAGATGAGGATAATAAGAGCCCCATGCGGTTGTAGTGGGTTTAAATGGGATCATTCCATTGAAATCCCTGGCAGAGGACCTGGCCCACCAAGAAAGCTTGCCTGCTATCGATCCTATTAAAAATTTTTTTAAAGAAATTGTCCAGGCGTGGTAGCTCATGCCTGTAATTCCAGCACTTTGGGAGGCCGAGGCAGGTGGATCACTTGAGGCCAAGAGTTCGAGACCAGCCTGGCCAACATGGCAAAACCCCATCTGTGCTAAAACTACAAAATTAGCTGGACATGGTGGTGTGCGCCTGTAACCCCAGCTACTCAGGAGGCTGAGGCAGGAGAATCACTTGAACCCGGGAGGCGGAGGTTACAGTGAGCCAAGGTCGTGCCACTGCATTCCAGTCTGGGCAACAGAGTGAGACTCCGTCTCAAAAAAATAAAATAAAATAAATGAGCTTCTTTGCTGAGCCCAACACTTATATCCAGTCCCCTCAACATGTGCGATGTGTTCTGATCTTACTGTAGACTGGACCATCTCCAGTCCTGCTCCTCACCCCCATCGCCCCTGTCCCCACCCCCATAGCCCCCATCCGTCCCCCATCTTCTCAGGGAACTTAGATGTCGCCCTGCAGCTGCTTAAGCCAGCATCCTTTGGCCTGTCCTCACATCTGGCCCATTAGCCAAATCTGTCAGCTCCACCGCTAAGTTAAATCCAGCATGCTCCACTGCCCCTGACTTGGGTCTGATCGCAGTCTGTCTCTAGTCGGCCGCCAGAGGGCACCCGTTAACGCCTAAATCAGCGACTATCTAGGCTGCTCAGA